TTTTTGGAACTGCCTTCAACAGAGATGGGTTTCAAACAATTGTTCAGAATCATGGAGTAACACTTGCCATTTAGGTTCTTTTTTTGTTTTCTTTCTGTCTTTTTTCGGAGAGGTTTCTGCCATAGGGCACTTGCGCTCACCAGAAAGACAGAGAAAGACAGAGACAGAAAGTGAGAAATCACCCCCCGGGGGAACGGCCATGCCGGAATCTCTTCTCTTCCATTCTCCTCTGGGGATATTGGGCATGCACACACAAACACGTCCAAAGTGAGTTTAAGCCACCAGGTCTGGAACTCGAACCGCAGTCAACTACATGGGAATCCTGTGACACAGCCATTATACCAACTGTTGGTCCCGCCATTTAGGTTCTTTACCAAAAGATCAAATGACCTGTCTGTGAAATGCACCTACATGTTCTCAGTAGGAACCTGATGACCTCCAGTTAGGATAATGAAGATTTTCACAAACTTATCTAACTGATCCCATCTATAATTACTGATGTTCACTGTATATCCGTTGTAATGGGAGCAACTACAGCAGCTGGTTCCTCATTGTCAAGAAGTTCTTACATCTTGTTCTTGATTTCTGTCTCAATCTTGGAATATTCAGCTATAAGGACATCACGTACTCTTAGCGGCCTTTTCTAGTAACACTTTTACTTCTTCTAGATCTTTCTGTAGCTCTTCCAGAGTTGAAGTCATGGTCTTGCTGAGCACCAAGGGCCCAAGCTGCAGCTGCACAGGAAAGGGGATGCTGCACAGAGTATGCTCACTGGAGCGAAGAGCACAGTCTGGGTACACTCTGGCCTCTGTACCAGGTCATAGCCTGCCTCCCACACCTAGCAGCATGCCTCCATCCTCTCTGATGAGACCCCACTCATTTTAAGCATCAAGGTCTGGCTGTATAAAATTTATTCTTTTCTTTGATTTTCATTTTGACTATAATGTGGTTTCTTGAACTTGTAAGTCAACCAATCATTATTTCTCCAATTTTTGGGTTCTATTTTCTTTTTATCTCTCTCTTCCCTTATGACTAAGGATATTTTTATATTTACTCAAATGTAATTTTTGACTATATACATTGTGTATGACATTGTATGGATACATGAAATATATTCAAAAAGCTCACGGAAAATGCTATGGTGTAGTTTTTGGCACCAAAATTGACTTACTTTAATTCCATTTTTCCATGAAATGTTTGAAATATTGCATATTAACAAAAGATAAACAATTCATAAGAAAGGGGGGATGAGTTACTGTCTCTGAAGACAAAATAGTGATAGTGTATACTTACCTGAATTATTTTCATTATTTTCATAAGTTATTTCATTCAACCAAAAACTATCTACTATACCAACACAGAAATTATTGTGATCACTACAAAGAAGATGGTCTTGACCTTCAAGAACCCTATAATTGAGTTCCTTCCGCATGGTCGCTGGGGAGAACCTGCCGCTGTGCTGATCGTGCTCTGCCAGACACGGTGTCCATGACGATTGAACTTCCAAGTTTGGGAAGAAACTGACCATCAACCAGATGACTAGAAATCGCTGCAGGACCATAAGAAATATGGGAAAGCAGGAAAATACCTCTCCTCCAAGGGAAAAGGATAACTCGTCTTCATCCACACACAGTTCACGGGAATTCATGGAAATGTCTGATAAAGAATTCAGAACATTCATAATGGCAAAACTAACAGAGATGGAAGACAAGAGAGACAATGAACTGCTGAAGAGGAAGGAGAAAGTTGTTGTTGAGTTCCAGGAGGTGAGGAAATTCATGCAAGATCTAAAAGAGGAATTTCACATTTTACAAAAGAATCAGATGGAACTACAAGAGATGAAAGCTATAATACAGGAAGTCAAAATCTCCCTGAAAAGTATTAAAAGCAGACTAGATCGTACAGAAAATACTATCTCAGACATAGAAAATTGCTAGCCTAAAGAAATCCACCACGAAGACTGAGAAAATGGCCCAAGAATTTGAGACTAATACACGAGATATACTAGATACCATCAAACGTCCAAACATCTGGATAACAGGCATCCCAGAAAGCAAAGAGACTCATAAGGGCACTGATAATCTATTCCATGAGATCCTGCAGGGAAACTTTCCAAACCTAGAGAGGCACTCAAAGATTCAGTCCCAAGAAATACAGAGGA